AATCTCATTTTCTCAAAAGTGATAAAAGTGGACATTTCTCCTTGCTAATAGCCCTTCATTTCGTGATCTCATAATGTTGATCCATCTGTTCGCTCGACTGGCGTCGAAAGCTGGCAGCTTGTCTGGCAGCTGGACGCCATGGCATCGCTGTTGGTGTCGCTGCCATGGCATTCTATTGCGATACCGCCCTAAGGTTCGGGGATCAAATGTGAGGCAAACGGACGAAGGCAAGAAGAAAAAAACTGGCAGAATTTTAGTGGCGAAATCCCTTCGAAAGCGACTGCTCCCGGTCAGAAGGAAGATAAGGACGGGGGAATGATATTAAAATGGAGTTTGTGGGGGTGAGAACTGAGTGGAAACAAAATGGAACTGTGAGATCAACGAAGCTCTGTTATCAGAAAATCAAAAACAGAAGAACGTTGATAACAGCGAGAACACAAGTCACGTCAGTACCGTCGCCCCTTCCCAAACACAAATGCGGCAGGTGGGGGGGGGGGGTTGTAGGGCGAGAAATGCGAAAGTCTCTAGGGGAGAGTCCACACGCAACGCCTGGGCATCCATGCGAGGATAATATTAAAACAGATCTCAAGGAAATAGGAGAGGAAACAGTGGACTGGATCGTCTTGGTCGGTGGCGGGCTCTGGTGCCCACGGTAATAAACCTTCGGCAGAATTTCTTGAGTAGCTCAGCGACTGTCAGCTTCACAACAGGGATTCTACTCAAGGGAGTTAGTTGGGTGATTATGCCCTTTGCACTCCACTGCAGTACTCTGTACAGTGCTGCCTCTAGGTTTCAAAGACGTAAGCTGTATTTTGCTTCGTCATGTGTTCTCGCTTTCTTCGAGGCTCGACGTCTTGAGATTCGAGCACTTATCACACTCTTGTGCTGAGGGGCACTTCACTCGTTTACAGCAAGGCACATACCAGGGGGAAAAAAAATCGTTCCTTTCTCTCCGGTGCAATGGGCTGGTAGGAACGGAGACAGGGCAGAGAGTCGGTTGCCCAAGACACGCCGAGGTCGCCGCTGGAGCGGCAACGTTCCTCGTGAGAATGTACGTGGTCACCGCAGATAAGAAGTGTCGAGACTCGCGCTGTGCTGTGGCGGTTAACGTAGCTGCTCAGTCCGTCTGCTTCTGTAGTACGGACGGGAACGTCTCGTCGTCCTAAGTTCGGGCTGCAAACGGACACACTGTCGTCGCCCCGTCAGCGGGAGGAATGGGTGTGCCCTGAGGGACCACGGCAGGCGTCAAACTGTAAGTTTCTCCCTAATGATGCAACGCGGACCGGGATATTTTAACTCGTGGTCGTGTATGATTTGCACTCGGTAATAGGGTGAACGCATAACCCACCCAGACTTAAGCATAAACATTTACGGTCAGTCAACAAAAGTACAATATTTAATATTTTCACAGCGTGACAGCGTTCTGTCGCCGCCAGGCAGGCGCCACGTGATGATACAGCGTTTTCTCCTTTTTTAACTTGTAATGCTTATATATTACAGTTCTTACTTTTAACATGTGCTTATATTCACAGCGCCATTCAACCACCCAGTCTTCTATCCAACGGGTCCCTGGGGTAAACGCGGCCGGGGCGTGACGCTGACCACTCACCCCCATCTAGTGCCGAGGTCAAGAATGAGTAGGAATTATATACCCCCCCAAGCGCCTACATGGCGTATAGTAGGACAGCTTTACTTTCATATTTACTTTTGCAGAACGAAACAACTTCACGGAGTACTGACCATGGCGACAACGAGGATCCCGCCGAAGGCGGAGCGCGGGAAACTCTTCTACTTCTTCGTGTGGACGTGTCTGGTGCTGGCGCTGCTGTGCGTGTGCCTCGTGCTGGCGGTAGTTCTGTTGGGGAGCAGCCTCAGTGCGTGTCGCGAGACCACATCTGACGCTTCGTCGTCTACGACGGTCCCGGCAGTGCGTAATACCAGCATGAAGTCCGTCCAGAAATCAGCGCCCAAGCCGTGGGAGACCGATTACCACTTGCCGTCAGCCACGGACCCCATTCATTACGACATATTTCTGCATCCGGACCTCAGTAATTTGACCTTCAGCGGCAAAGTTACAATTACGATTCGTGTGAAGAACCCGAGGTCTTTTCTGTTGGTGAACGCCAAGTATTTGGACATCTACGAGACTCGCCTCACCGGGCCGGTTGCTCCCGACAACGAAGGCGAGGAAAGGGCCAAGGCCGGCGAAGTGCGGGAGATTGACATCGGCGAAGCCTTCGAGTACAAACCCAACGAGTTCTGGGTGGTAGTGATAAAAAACAACACGGAACTTCAACCCGGAATCTACAGTCTTCACCTGCAATTCAGAGGCAGCCTAAGTGGGAAAATTGTCGGCTTCTACAGCAGTACGTACACTGATTCCAAGACACAGGAGAAAAGGTTAGTGCAACATTTTAAATTTTTTTTGGCGCACGTGATAGAGGGGCATGTAGCCCACTTTCTTTCCAGCGTTTTCCCTCCCCACGTCACCTTTCACATATTGTTCCTGTATAAACATGTGGGGTGACCTTTTATTCTTAAGAAAATTTCATTTCCTAAATACATTTGCAGCGTGAGACTTTGTACGTCTAGACGTCTGTGCACTAACGTAGGTACGCTTATCAGTTCTACATACGACAAGCACAACTTGCAACAAATATCTAGGTAGCTGTTATCTAATCGCGTGGACAGATACCAAATGTAAATTTCCACGGGAAAAAAAACCGGGTTTGTTACGGAAAACAAATTCACGTTTACTCTGAAGTTATGTGTGACATATCACTTACCGAACACGAAACAGTAACTGCTACTTATCGCTTCGAAGTTTGGCATGTGTCATGAGTGCTGACTAAAATTAGACTTCTGTAGCCAGCGAGGGTTGCTTTCTAAAGCGACGTGTTCGTTCAATACTAAACGAACGCGCCAAAGGGCATTGCACTGACTTGCAACGACTTTCTAGGTCAGTGAAAACGAGAGGAGGAATTGTAGGGGAAGCAGCGCCATATTCCCGGTTTCTGTTCATCGTGTATGATTTGCACTCGGTAATAGGGTGAACGCATAACCCACCCAGACTTAAGCATAAACATTTACGGTCAGTCAACAAAAGTACAATATTTAATATTTTCACAGCGTGACAGCGTTCTGTCGCCGCCAGGCAGGCGCCACGTGATGATACAGCGTTTTCTCCTTTTTTAACTTGTAATGCTTATATATTACAGTTCTTACTTTTAACATGTGCTTATATTCACAGCGCCATTCAACCACCCAGTCTTCTATCCAACGGGTCCCTGGGGTAAACGCGGCCGGGGCGTGACGCTGACCACTCACCCCCATCTAGTGCCGAGGTCAAGAATGAGTAGGAATTATATACCCCCCCAAGCGCCTACATGGCGTATAGTAGGACAGCTTTACTTTCATATTTACTTTTGCAGAACGAAACAACTTCACGGAGTACTGACCATGGCGACAACGAGGATCCCGCCGAAGGCGGAGCGCGGGAAACTCTTCTACTTCTTCGTGTGGACGTGTCTGGTGCTGGCGCTGCTGTGCGTGTGCCTCGTGCTGGCGGTAGTTCTGTTGGGGAGCAGCCTCAGTGCGTGTCGCGAGACCACATCTGACGCTTCGTCGTCTACGACGGTCCCGGCAGTGCGTAATACCAGCATGAAGTCCGTCCAGAAATCAGCGCCCAAGCCGTGGGAGACCGATTACCACTTGCCGTCAGCCACGGACCCCATTCATTACGACATATTTCTGCATCCGGACCTCAGTAATTTGACCTTCAGCGGCAAAGTTACAATTACGATTCGTGTGAAGAACCCGAGGTCTTTTCTGTTGGTGAACGCCAAGTATTTGGACATCTACGAGACTCGCCTCACCGGGCCGGTTGCTCCCGACAACGAAGGCGAGGAAAGGGCCAAGGCCGGCGAAGTGCGGGAGATTGACATCGGCGAAGCCTTCGAGTACAAACCCAACGAGTTCTGGGTGGTAGTGATAAAAAACAACACGGAACTTCAACCCGGAATCTACAGTCTTCACCTGCAATTCAGAGGCAGCCTAAGTGGGAAAATTGTCGGCTTCTACAGCAGTACGTACACTGATTCCAAGACACAGGAGAAAAGGTTAGTGCAACATTTTAAATTTTTTTTGGCGCACGTGATAGAGGGGCATGTAGCCCACTTTCTTTCCAGCGTTTTCCCTCCCCACGTCACCTTTCACATATTGTTCCTGTATAAACATGTGGGGTGACCTTTTATTCTTAAGAAAATTTCATTTCCTAAATACATTTGCAGCGTGAGACTTTGTACGTCTAGACGTCTGTGCACTAACGTAGGTACGCTTATCAGTTCTACATACGACAAGCACAACTTGCAACAAATATCTAGGTAGCTGTTATCTAATCGCGTGGACAGATACCAAATGTAAATTTCCACGGGAAAAAAAACCGGGTTTGTTACGGAAAACAAATTCACGTTTACTCTGAAGTTATGTGTGACATATCACTTACCGAACACGAAACAGTAACTGCTACTTATCGCTTCGAAGTTTGGCATGTGTCATGAGTGCTGACTAAAATTAGACTTCTGTAGCCAGCGAGGGTTGCTTTCTAAAGCGACGTGTTCGTTCAATACTAAACGAACGCGCCAAAGGGCATTGCACTGACTTGCAACGACTTTCTAGGTCAGTGAAAACGAGAGGAGGAATTGTAGGGGAAGCAGCGCCATATTCCCGGTTTCTGTT